GACATGTTTTAATCGACTCAAAAAGTGATTCTGCGTCGATCGGTATACTTTAAGGTAAGGTAGGACCAATATTTTTGTGTGTTACAAACATCAGCACAAACGTATAATACCCTCCCCACTATAGAGGTGTAGGGTATAAATATTCAAAACAAAAAGTTTATGTGTTGCGCATCAATTCACTCGTTCAATGGAACGGTTCCGGAACTAGTCCTTTAATAAATGATTTTAGTTTGATTTTGCTATCCTCAGAAACAATTCTAATTCTACTAGCTAAAAACATTATTATAAAAAAGTACCAAAAATAGAGTAATTTTTGAAAAATTCTAGGAGAGCAATATTAAAAATCCGCTTTTTGGGCTACATAAATTAAGAATCAAAAACTCTAAAACCAGTAATTATACAAATTTTATTCTGTATTAAAATTATCTCATAATAAGTTTAAAAATTTTAAATCAAATATTTTACAATAGAAAAAGCTTTTTTTTTTCCAATTAGGTTTTGGCAACACTAATTTGAAGTATTTTAAAAATAAATGATTATAAAAAGATTGATTGATCTGTATATAAATTAATTTTTTTTAATAAGAAGTTTCAGATCATATCACTCACTGAACGGAAGAATAATGTTTTACGATTTCATAATAATAATTCCTTTACTGTGGACAATTGCACAAGGACGTAAGAAATTTTGAAATTATTTCTTTTCATTGCATATATGAATATATTTTTTCTTAAACAGAGTATGGAACTAATTGTTTACTTCCCAATCATCGAAGTGGCCTGTGCATGCCTTTGAAATCTTGTAAATCGACATATAGAATAGTTAATAATATTCTTGACAATGGCGGTAAAATTAGCAATGCTGATCGAGAAAAGCTTTTGAGTCTACAATGTGGAACTATGAGACATATTGTATGTATGACAGTATATTTGTTTGTATTTTAAATTTAGTATAATTGATTATTTAAAGCACTTGGTATGTTGTGAAGAGTCTGATATTCAATTAAATCCTCTCGGTTTAGATTTACTAACAAATAATTCTTGCGGCATAGAAAACACAAATAGAGTAGCATACGGTCGAGATGCTAAATTATATGGTTTTCCTTGGATGGCTTTGTTAAAGTACGACGATCCTATAAAGCCATTCAAATGTGGAGGATCATTAATAAGTGATCGTAAGTATTTTTAATAAATCTAAAATTCTATTTAAAAATATACAAATGTTCATTTAAAGTTTTGTTGTTCTTACTTTAAGAATATGTTTTAACTGCAGCTCACTGTATTAATGAAACCTTAAAGACACTGTAGGTATATATTTTAATTCACAGTTAATAAATAAGTGAATAAATAAAACAAATAAGTATCTACATAATTTACGACATACATATATTTCAGTATTGCAGTAAGACTTGGAGAACATCGCATTAGCACCGAACAAGACTGTGAAAACTTGGGTAGAAAAACTATTTGTTCTCCACCCGTCGAAGATATTGGCATTGAAGAAATTATAAAACATGAGCATTATACAAAAACTTATGTACATCATGATCTTGCATTACTGCGTCTCAATAGAAAAGTTCGCATTCAACGTAAGTAAAATTTTTGATATTTATGTATTTATAAAATTATTTAATAAAATTTTATGTAGAACATATTAAAACTATCTGTTTGCCAATATACGACAATTTAAGAACAAAAGAATATGATAAGTATGTCATATCCGGATGGGGAGCAACCGAAAGAGGTCTGTAACGATTTCTATTGAAATATGCTAGATCAGCATGAAAACGTTTTATTACTTTAGATATGTTATCCGATGTTCTCCAGGTTGCTGTTATATCAAATATAAATCACGTAGAATGTCAAACACAGTTAAGAACGTTTCGTTTTCGCCAGAATATAACAAGGGGACAAATTTGTGCCGGTGGTGAAAATTTGACTGACACCTGTAAGGGAGATTCTGGTGGACCTTTGGGTTATAGAGACATTTACAACGGCAAGCCAAGGTTTATACAATTCGGAATTGTAAGTTTTGGTGTTACTGGCTGTGGCCGTATAATAGCACCATCTATATTTACAAATGTTGCTCACTATATACAATGGATAACGGATAATATGTACTGAAACATTGATTTTTTTAATATATAAATATAAAATATTTTAATATATAAATAAAAAGATATCTTCTATATACATATATAAAAAAAGTAGAGCTCCTGACTAATTTGTCGTACAACCTAAACGGCTGAACCTAAAATCATGATATTTTGATAGGAGATGTCTTCTTAAATTACGTTTAAGCGGTAAAAATTGTGTTTATTTTTGATATTTAACAAATTTTCTGAGGGGGGCTTTGTATGGGCCAAGTGATGCCCGTTCAGTAAAAAATTCAGCAGGGTCATTAAAGCTAGTATAAAATTTGTTGTACCGCTTTTTGTCTAGTACGAGTATATTAAAAACAAATGTTGATCTCAAAAGTCATATTCAGGGGGTTTAGTTGTATGAGGGCTAGGTGAAATCATGGAAAGATTTTAACAATTTTCAATAGGCTTCGTCCATGGAACAATAGAAGATTATAATGATGAAAGTGTACTTTATTATAAAAAATTTATAATAGTGTTCACATGATATACACTTATACATTTGTATTGACATAAATGTTGAAATAAAGAAGATTACCTTTATAGAATGTTAATTTTCTGGTGGCACATTATGACTCAATCCGATATTTATATATCGATGTCACTAAAGTAAAACTTTTTAAATACATTTAGAATGTTTTCAATAAAAAAAGATGGGTGGGTATATTGAGTTAATAATTCCGATTGTAACACATTAAAATATTGACGCATACCCTCAGAAGGATATTTGGATCATTATTAGATTTTAAAACAATCTAGGTCTAAAATTCAAAAAAATATTTGTTTTATGAAGCTAGTGAATTTTGTAGAGGTCGGCTCATATTGTACTCAAGCCCACATTAAAGGTCATATATCACTACAATATAGATATATGATAATAAAATTCAGAATATATAAATATATATATATATATATATATATATATATATATATATATATATATATATATATATATATATACAGTGTCTCTCATAAGTATTCGAATTTAGGTAAACTATGAAAAGAAACCAAATTTAATAATATATTTTGTGTGGGAAATAAATAAATAAATTTGTTATATTGTCTAGATAGTCTTTAGTTTTGATATCACGCCCCTTAAAACTTGAAAACTTTACATTTACTTAAATTAGTTATGCTTTTTTTAAAAAAAGTCCATGAAACTACTTCACAAAAGTATGCGAATTTTTCCTGTATTTCATATTTGATCATATTATACGATACACACATTTTAGAATCGCATGGTTTTATGCTTAATATAGTTTTAAGGGGTTACTATCAACCGCATGGATATATTTTTGACCCATTTGGTCCACAATTTTGGGGGATTTGTACCCTCTTTTCATGTAATATCATTAAAATGGCGATTTTTGGCTATATTTGTAATGTTTTCACCCTTTTTCCAGAGATAAAACCAAAATTTAATATTGGAATTAAATAGAAACCATAGGGTATCTAAAAATAATATTTTTTGTTATAAGGATCTGTACTTAAACGTTCCAAGATGTATTTTTGCTATCGTTTTGCAGTTTCTAATTGAATTATCTGGATCATAAGTCCCTTTTCGTACCTCTAGGGACGATATTTTCCGACAAAGTTGTCTAGTGTATATTCATGTACATATTGGCACTAATGTATTTTAAATTTTCAATATATTATAGCGGTATACAACCCCAAAACATGCCTTAACAAAACGTCATCCTATATAGTAGATTTCAGTTTTTACTACTCGTAACTTTCACGCTTATGTTGCCCGTTACAATAACACTGTAAGTCCTAAATTTTGGTTTTAATTTGATCATAGTAAATAATATTTAAACACATATCAACATTTTTGATGTGATCATAATGATATCGTGCCATGCAGCATGGAGGCCATTGGTATATAAAAATAATGATTTTACTATTTTGAATGGTGTTTCTTCGAGGCATGTTTTGGAGTTGTACACTTCCACAACACATTGAAAACTTAAAATGTATAAAAGCTGATATCTAAAAGAATATATACCAGAAAACTTTCCCCGAAAATAGTTGATCCTAGTATTATAAAAATGGACTTAAGTTCCAATATATTGAATTAGCGAAAGAAGAATGATCCGAATAATTTATCTTGGAACGTTTAAATACAGATTCTTGTAACAAAAGATATTATTTTTAGATACCCCAAGGGGTCTTTTGAGTCCCAATATCAAATTTTTGTTTTATCTCTGGAAAAAAGGAGAAAAATTTACAATTATGGTCAAAAATCGCTATTTTAATGATATTACATGAAAAAAGGGTACAAATTCCCCAAAATTGTGGACCAAATGGGCCAAAAATATATCCTTTCCGTGGATAGTAACCCCTTAAAACAATATTACGCATAAAAACCATTCGATTCTAAAATTTGTGTTGCGTATAATATGATCAAATATGAAATACAGGAAAAATTCGTATACTTTTGTGAGGCAATTTCATGGACTTTTTTTAAAAAAGCACAATTAATTTAAGTCAATACAAATTTTTCAAGTTTTAAAAAGCGTGATATCAAACATAAGGACTATCTAGACAATATAACAAATTAATTTATTTATTTTGCACACAAAATATATTATTAAATTTGGTTTCTTTTTATAGTTTACCCAAATTCGAATAATTATGAGAGACACTGTATATATCCTGCTCAAAATTAATTTTAATTTACGACACAGGCTTTGAAAGTGATTGTATATAGTGAACATGTATATAACTCTCTCTTGATTGTTATTATTTTAATTTGCGTTTATTGATGACGTATTAAACTTAATCATATATTCAAAATATGATTGAGATTTTGTATTGACTGAATAAATTATTTGTCAGTTGCATTTAGGAACTACATTTTTACAGTTTTTAATGCTTCGCTTATTTGGAATTTTTGCAATTTTATTTATATTCATTTTCATAAGCATTAACAGTCGTAAGTATTTTTGAAAATTGATATTTTAACGTTTCGAAATTCCTTTAAATAAAAATTGTATTTATAAGAATATGGCACTGAATGTCGAATGCCAAATGAAATGAAAGGTAAATGTGTACCCGTAAAATCTTGTAGAACCACATATGAATTTTTTGAAAATATTCACAAATCTGGAAATAGTAGTATTTCAAGTATAGATCGGGAAAAATTATTAGAACTAAAATGTGGCACAATGAAAAATTCGGTAAGTATAGGTTATTCAATAATTGTTTATAAAATCGAATTTATTTAGTTATCTATTTTATTATCATAATTTTTAAAGCCCCTCATCTGTTGTTCTGAATCGGAGGTGCAATTGAATGTGAATGGATTTAATATACTAAAGAATACTACTTGTGGCATATATATTGTAGATAAAATATCTAATGGTCATGTTGCCGCTCTATTCGGTTTTCCATGGATGGTTTTATTGAAATATGATGATGAATTTAATACTTTTAAATGTGGTGGATCTTTAATAAGTGACCGTGAGCTTTTTTTTTAATTTATTAAATCTAAAATATTTATTAAATTTATTTTTTGCAGGTTATGTTCTAACTGCAGCCCATTGTATAGCTAGATCAGATAAACAACTGTAAGTATCGAAGATATAGATGAAACAAGTGCCTCAACCATTAATTTTAAAATCCAAAGAAAGTCATATACAATTTTGATTGGCTATAGGGGTTATTATAATAATTATAATCGCAAATTTAATAGAAAGATCATATAATATTAATGGCAAATAAGATCCATTTACGGATTTTATTAGATTTTACTCTAGAACTTAAATTTTTCGATACTTTAAGTTTTTTATATAATATTTTTCATAACAAAATCTATTTTCAAATATTACATTAATAAGACTTTCATAGTTTTATTGATAAAAGATCAAATATCTTTTTAACTTCTTTTAATAATTTTTATTTTTAGTGTAGCTGTCAGATTAGGAGAATATCAAATCAGCACTGAAAGAGATTGTACGAATTCAACACGTAAAAACATTTGTGCTGATCCAGTAGAAGATGTTGGCATTGAAGAAATATTTATACATGAAAATTATCAAAGAAACTTGCACCACGATATAGCACTTTTACGTCTTAATCGAACAGTGGAATTTAAAAGTATATATGTAAAAACCAACAATTTTCAAATCTTGATTAAACGAATTCTTGGAATAATTTAGGACACATAAAACCCATATGCTTGCCAATATTTGACGTTTTGAGAACAAAAGATTACAGTGAATATGTTATATCTGGATGGGGAGCTACAGAAAATCGTATATTTAAATGAGACACATACATATATTTAAAATTCATTTATAGAGATTTTAAAATATTTTCAGGCAGTTCTTCGGATGTCCTGATGGTGGCCATTGTCCCTAGTGTAGAACGTTCACAATGTCAAATAGAATTGAGAAAACATTATCTACGTTTGCCTTTAACTGAGGGTCAGATATGTGCTGGCGGTTTAAATACAGTTGATGCCTGCCGTGGTGACTCTGGTGGACCTTTAGGTTACAAAGATTTTTATAATGGTCATCCACGTTTTATACAATTCGGTCTTGTTAGCGTTGGTTTGGATAATTGTGGTTTTGAGAGTCCACCCACGACTTATACAAACATTTCCCATTATCTACAATGGATAACTGATCATATGTTGTAAAATTCAATGTTCAAACTGAGTGCTATGTTGAAAAGTTATGTTAAATTACATAACAAATATTTCGGAGATTAAGAGAAACTTTCTTGCTAAATAATTTCTGTTTAATTTAGTAAATAAGTAAATAGTTACTTACAAATTAAATTATTAAAATGTACTCAAAATTCCGGATATTATTTTAGAACTTATATACACATATGGGTAATTTCGTGTCAAGTGACCCAACTTTAAAAATCGATGTATTCGATTTTGCACCATGGATAGTACTATTGGATAGTAGACCAGACACAAATTTTCAGCGCTATCGGTCCAGGACTGCCGGACCTAAAGGGGGTCAAAGTTAGACATTTTCATTCAAATGAGTGTAACTTTTCACCTATTAGTCTAGCAAAAATTGTCCAAAGAAGTTCAGAGAGCTATTTCTTCATTGTTTCCAAACATTTTTTTAAAAAAAGAGAGTTTTTTGAAAAAAAAAAAAAAAACATTAAAAAAATCCTTTGGCAGTTCTGGGCCGATAACCCTATAAATGTGTGTCTGGTGTAATCTAAAACAAAAAGGTTTTTTAATGAAATTTGTGAAAGAGGACAAAGGACTTGTATACCCATCAGTTAAGAATATTTTAAACGCGTTATCCAGTTTTTATACCCATCATTAAAAAACACATCGAAATATAGTATATAAATTCTAAGACGATCTAGCCATGTACGTCCGTATGTATGTTGAAAACTAGATAGAGTCCAAACGAAAAAAGCTAGAGATTTGAAATTTTGCCAAATTATTTTTAGTTGTTCCAGTTTGTTTGGGCAATTCAACTAACGGTCAACGATTTCATCTAACTCTCATATTAATTAGGCTCTCATTAGAAAAAATAAATGCTTAAAAAAGCATTTATAGCGATGAAATTCTACATGAACAAGTTTTATAGGAGTCTAAATGTTTTTGTGAAATTTTATGTCTATCGACACATAATTGACCCCATATAAAGTTCCCTCAGAAAATTACTTTAAAGCTCATAATTTGCTAAAAAAAATGCAATACAATCATCTCTATTCTGCATTTCGATTACGTTCACGCATTCAGTTACGCAACGATCGAAAAAAGGTATTCCAACAAAAAACTGAATCGTAAGAAAAAGAAGAAGCAATTCCACTTCGTTTCAATGCTTTACGAATGTGTGTATTCTGCGTTACGATCGTACCTACGTTTATGTAAGTTGTTGTTTATGTGGCGGAGAGTCGAATCGAAATGCAGAATACCAAAGTTGCCAAACGGAGAAAATTTGGATTCGAATTGAAATGCGGAATAGGGGCCAATAACAAAATTCAACATAAACTTTTTAAGAAGATTGCTATGTAACATCTGAATCATGTCAAGTAACTTTTAAAACCGATGTCTTACGATCGGAATGAAAAAAAATGTTTTTTTAAAGGAAAGTATAAGTGATTTCAAAAATTTTTAACTTAATTATAATTTACAAAGAATTGAACTCGAAGAAATTTGTAGATCAACAATGGAAAGGCTTTTACCAATTAAAATTTTTAATAATATATTTTGTTTTTGTAAATGGCATATTTTTATGGAAACTGTTGATTACACTTTTAAATATAAATTTCTTAGAAATGCTTAATCAAGCTTTTTATTAAACTCATACATGGGACATACATTTCAAAGCCACAGAGAAGGTCTCTTATACATTCCATATGGAATATTTACTAAAGTTATTAATTAATTGTATATTTTTAAAATACTTTGTTTAAAATAACAATTAAGGTGTTTTTACCTTTAAATAAATCATTGAAGTTATTACATTACAATGTCTTTATTATAAGTTTCGATATTATTTTTAATTAAAGGAATCCCGTAAGATCAAAAACACACCTACAAAAATTGGTTACGTTTTTTAGTCAAATATTTGATAGGTATGAACATATATTTAGTGTTTTATTTCGTTTCAACAAATCATATCTAATTCAATCGATTTGATATGTTTTATACATTTAAATTAGTGACGATTTAGTTTACTTCCACCTAATCAGTCATATTAAAATTCTTTCTACACTTAGTGATTGATAAGAATTTTCTAAAAACTGGTTTTTATAGGGTGTTTGGGGAATGCCCCAGAAATGTGGACAGCTTAAAATATGTGTGTGTGTTTTAACTTTTTTGAATTATATTTCATTAAAATTTTGGGGATTTTTTTTGATTTGAATTTATATTTAAATTTTATTTTCTCGTTAAACTTAAATGAAATAATTAATTTAAAAGTATTTTTCATATTAATTTGTACAAGTTCGTTGAACATTTTTGGTTAAAAATAAGTGAAAATTATTAATAAAAATTTGGATTTAAATCGTAGGGTATTGTGGTAATCACAGCTGTAAACTAATGTTGTTTTATGAGTAGTAGAATTTTGTTTATAATCAGAGTTTAAAATAATAAATTCATTAATAATTTTCTAACGATTATATAATATTTGCTAAATTATATTGTACGTTATTTGTATCCTTGTTTATCAGCAACATGATTTCAACAGAATATATAAAACTGCATTTGTGTTTATTTGTTTGTGCGTTTGATCTATATAGACGTTTAAAATGCTGAAGCGATCTTCAGTGTCTTCCTGTAGGACTATAATTATAGGCTACTTTTTATTTCGAAATTTCAAATAAAAGAGATGCCACGTCCACATACAAAATAAGTAGTAAAAGTAGTATATCTCAGTAACTACAAGGGTCCTCATATGGTATGATAAATTTTGACATCTATATAAACATTTCAGGACAAAATGGGCGGATTGGAAAAAGTAGTCGTGGTACCTCCCAAATAACAAAAAAGTATTAAAGTAGTATATCTAAGAAAATATAAGAGCTAGAGTCCAAAAATTGTAACGCAGTCACTTAACTATCAATATTAATATTTGAGATAAAATTGACTGCACTAGCAATAGGGGGCATGGTACCTCTTATATGAATTCAATACAAAAATTCGAATATCTGGGAAACTATTAGAGCTACAACCCTAATATTTTGCACAAATAACTTTATGAACATTTGGGGGAAAATTGGCAGGACTAACAATAGAGGGCGTGGCACCTCCGTGGCTACAACCCTAATATTTTGCACAAACAACTTTATGAACATTTGGGGGGAAATTGGTCGGACTAGCAATAGGTGGTGTGGCACCTCCATTATGAATTCATTACAAAAATTCCAATATAAGGAAAACTATAAGAGGTAGAATCCTCAAATTTTGCACGAACAACTATGACAATTTATATGAACATTTGGGGGTATATTATATTGACTAACAATAGGGGCGTGTATAGCTAGATCAGATAAACAACTGTAAGTATCGCTAGATCAGATTGACAACTGCCATTTGTATAGCTAGATCAGATAAACAACTGTAAGTATCGAAGATATAGATGAAACAAGTGCCTCAACCATTAATTTTAAAATCCAAAGAAAGTCATATACAATTTTGATTGGCTATAGGGGTTATTATAATAATTATAATCGCAAATTTAATAGAAAGATCAAATAATATTAATGGCAAATAGATCCATTTACGGATTTTATTAGATTTTACTCTAGAACTTAAATTTTTCGATACTTTAAGTTTTTTATATAATATTTTTCATAACAAAATCTATTTTCAAATATTAAATTAATAAGACTTTCAAAGTTTTATTGATAAAAGATCAAATATCTTTTTAACTTCTTTTAATAATTTTTATTTTTAGTGTAGCTGTCAGATTAGGAGAATATCAAATTAGCACTGAAAGAGATTGTACGAATTCAACACGTAAAAACATTTGTGCTGATCCAGTAGAAGATGTTGGCATTGAAGAAATATTTATACATGAAAATTATCAAAGAAACTTGCACCACGATATAGCACTATTACGTCTTAATCGAACAGTGGAATTTAAAAGTATATATGTAAAAACCAACAATTTTCAAATCTTGATTAAACGAATTCTTGGAATAATTTAGGACACATAAAACCCATATGCTTGCCAATATTTGACGTTTTGAGAACAAAAGATTACAGTGAATATGTTATATCTGGATGGGGAGCTACAGAAAATCGTATATTTAAATGAGATACATACATATATTCTAAATTCATTTATAGAGATTTTGAAATATTTTCAGGCAGTTCTTCGGATGTCCTGATGGTGGCCATTGTCCCTAGTGTAGAACGTTCACAATGTCAAATAGAATTGAGAAAACATTATCTACGTTTGCCTTTAACTGAGGGTCAGATATGTGCTGGCGGTTTAAATACAATTGATGCCTGCCGTGGAGACTCTGGTGGACCTTTAGGTTACAAAGATTTTTATAATGGTCATCCACGTTTTATACAATTCGGTCTTGTTAGCGTTGGTTTGGATAATTGTGGTTTTGAGAGTCCACCCACGACTTATACAAACATTTCCCATTATTTACAATGGATAACTGATCATATGTGGTAAAATTCAATGTTCAAACTGAGAGCTAAGTTGAAAAGTTATGTTAAATTACATAACAAATATTTCGGAGATTAAGAGAAACTTTCTTGCTAAATAATTTCTGTTTAATTTAGTAAATAAGTAAATAGTTACTTACAAATTAAATTATTAAAATGTACTCAAAATTCCGGATATTATTTTAGAACTTATATACACATATGGGTAATTTCGTGTCAAGTGACCCAACTTTAAAAATCGATGTATTCGATTTTGCACCATGGATAGTACTATTGGATAGTAGACCAGACACAAATTTTCAGCGCTATCGGTCCAGGACTGCCGGACCTAAAGGGGGTCAAAGTTAGACATTTTCATTCAAATGAGTGTAACTTTTCACCTATTAGTCTAGCAAAAATTGTCCAAAGAAGTTCAGAGAGCTATTTCTTCATTGTTTCCAAACATTTTTTTAAAAAAAGAGAGTTTTTTGAAAAAAAAAAAAAAAACATTAAAAAAATCCTTTGGCAGTTCTGGGCCGATAACCCTATAAATGTGTGTCTGGTGTAATCTAAAACAAAAAGGTTTTTTAATGAAATTTGTGAAAGAGGACAAAGGACTTGTATACCCATCAGTTAAGAATATTTTAAACGCGTTATCCAGTTTTTATACCCATCATTAAAAAACACATCGAAATATAGTATATAAATTCTAAGACGATCTAGCCATGTACGTCCGTATGTATGTTGAAAACTAGATAGAGTCCAAACGAAAAAAGCTAGAGATTTGAAATTTTGCCAAATTATTTTTAGTTGTTCCAGTTTGTTTGGGCAATTCAACTAACGGTCAACGATTTCATCTAACTCTCATATTAATTAGGCTCTCATTAGAAAAAATAAATGCTTAAAAAAGCATTTATAGCGATGAAATTCTACATGAACAAGTTTTATAGGAGTCTAAATGTTTTTGTGAAATTTTATGTCTATCGACACATAATTGACCCCATATAAAGTTCCCTCAGAAAATTACTTTAAAGCTCATAATTTGCTAAAAAAAATGCAATACAATCATCTCTATTCTGCATTTCGATTACGTTCACGCATTCAGTTACGCAACGATCGAAAAAAGGTATTCCAACAAAAAACTGAATCGTAAGAAAAAGAAGAAGCAATTCCACTTCGTTTCAATGCTTTACGAATGTGTGTATTCTGCGTTACGATCGTACCTACGTTTATGTAAGTTGTTGTTTATGTGGCGGAGAGTCGAATCGAAATGCAGAATACCAAAGTTGCCAAACGGAGAAAATTTGGATTCGAATTGAAATGCGGAATAGGGGCCAATAACAAAATTCAACATAAACTTTTTAAGAAGATTGCTATGTAACATCTGAATCATGTCAAGTAACTTTTAAAACCGATGTCTTACGATCGGAATGAAAAAAAATGTTTTTTTAAAGGAAAGTATAAGTGATTTCAAAAATTTTTAACTTAATTATAATTTACAAAGAATTGAACTCGAAGAAATTTGTAGATCAACAATGGAAAGGCTTTTACCAATTAAAATTTTTAATAATATATTTTGTTTTTGTAAATGGCATATTTTTATGGAAACTGTTGATTACACTTTTAAATATAAATTTCTTAGAAATGCTTAATCAAGCTTTTTATTAAACTCATACATGGGACATACATTTCAAAGCCACAGAGAAGGTCTCTTATACATTCCATATGGAATATTTACTAAAGTTATTAATTAATTGTATATTTTTAAAATACTTTGTTTAAAATAACAATTAAGGTGTTTTTACCTTTAAATAAATCATTGAAGTTATTACATTACAATGTCTTTATTATAAGTTTCGATATTATTTTTAATTAAAGGAATCCCGTAAGATCAAAAACACACCTACAAAAATTGGTTACGTTTTTTAGTCAAATATTTGATAGGTATGAACATATATTTAGTGTTTTATTTCGTTTCAACAAATCATATCTAATTCAATCGATTTGATATGTTTTATACATTTAAATTAGTGACGATTTAGTTTACTTCCACCTAATCAGTCATATTAAAATTCTTTCTACACTTAGTGATTGATAAGAATTTTCTAAAAACTGGTTTTTATAGGGTGTTTGGGGAATGCCCCAGAAATGTGGACAGCTTAAAATATGTGTGTGTGTTTTAACTTTTTTGAATTATATTTCATTAAAATTTTGGGGATTTTTTTTGATTTGAATTTATATTTAAATTTTATTTTCTCGTTAAACTTAAATGAAATAATTAATTTAAAAGTATTTTTCATATTAATTTGTACAAGTTCGTTGAACATTTTTGGTTAAAAATAAGTGAAAATTATTAATAAAAATTTGGATTTAAATCGTAGGGTATTGTGGTAATCACAGCTGTAAACTAATGTTGTTTTATGAGTAGTAGAATTTTGTTTATAATCAGAGTTTAAAATAATAAATTCATTAATAATTTTCTAACGATTATATAATATTTGCTAAATTATATTGTACGTTATTTGTATCCTTGTTTATCAGCAACATGATTTCAACAGAATATATAAAACTGCATTTGTGTTTATTTGTTTGTGCGTTTGATCTATATAGACGTTTAAAATGCTGAAGCGATCTTCAGTGTCTTCCTGTAGGACTATAATTATAGGCTACTTTTTATTTCGAAATTTCAAATAAAAGAGATGCCACGTCCACATACAAAATAAGTAGTAAAAGTAGTATATCTCAGTAACTACAAGGGTCCTCATATGGTATGATAAATTTTGACATCTATATAAACATTTCAGGACAAAATGGGCGGATTGGAAAAAGTAGTCGTGGTACCTCCCAAATAACAAAAAAGTATTAAAGTAGTATATCTAAGAAAATATAAGAGCTAGAGTCCAAAAATTGTAACGCAGTCACTTAACTATCAATATTAATATTTGAGATAAAATTGACTGCACTAGCAATAGGGGGCATGGTACCTCTTATATGAATTCAATACAAAAATTCGAATATCTGGGAAACTATTAGAGCTACAACCCTAATATTTTGCACAAATAACTTTATGAACATTTGGGGGAAAATTGGCAGGACTAACAATAGAGGGCGTGGCACCTCCCTGGCTACAACCCTAATATTTTGCACAAACAACTTTATGAACATTTGGGGGGAAATTGGTCGGACTAGCAATAGGTGGTGTGGCACCTCCATTATGAATTCATTACAAAAATTCCAATATAAGGAAAACTATAAGAGGTAGAATCCTCAAATTTTGCACGAACAACTATGACAATTTATATGAACATTTGGGGGTATATTATATTGACTAACAATAGGGGCGTGTTACTTTCTATATGAATTAAATACAAAAATTGGTATATCTGGGAAACTAATAAAGGTAGAATCTTAAATTTTGCACGGTAAACAATCAAATCCATATGAGTAATTCTTCCCATAAAACTTAATATGAAAAATTGTAAAAGTGGTTTCTTAATTATAATGTTTTTAGTGCAGCAATATACACTGGATATAGCTAGTAAAGAATATAAATACTTTATGGGATCGCAAAATTAAATTTTAGAAATTACAAAATTGGGTATAATTTTTCTTATCAGTTTCTTATATTATAATGAAATAATACATTTAAATATGTGCTATTATATCAACCTAATATTAATAAATATTAACTTTATAAAAAAAAGATGTTAGTAAAAAAATTGTTTTTTTTTTGTTATATTTTCTTTCTATTTTGTATTTATTTCAGAGCTTTAATAAATTTAAATATTTCAATGAATAGTACACTTATATCAATTTAGCTGCAAATATATATATATTTTTTTGCAAAATAAACAAATTTGTTCAGCAATAACAATGATTCGGTGGCTGATTTTAATTCTTGTTTTAACAGTGAATAATGTAAATTCCAGTAAGTATTCTAAGAAATATAAAAATCTCTTAAACCAATAAATTTAATTTATTTTAGAATATGCTACACCATGCCTTATCTCAGACCAACAAACTGGAATTTGTATGCCAGTTAAATCATGCAAAAGAATTTATGATTTTTTTACGCGAATCAGCCAAAATGGTGGCAATATTTCGGAACATGAAAAATCGAAATTAGCCTCATTATATTGTGGTACATTTAACAATGATCCACACGTTTGCTGTAAAAAGGAGGAAATTCAATTAAATGCTGAGGGTTTGAATATTTTAAAAAATCAAACATGTGGAATTTATTTCATAAATACTGTAGCAAATGGACAAAATGCATCTCTATTTCAATATCCATGGATGGCTTTGTTAAAATATGAAGGCCAGAGCGATCCCTTCAAATGCGGAGGCACCTTAATAAGTGATCGTAAGTTTTAAACTTCATATTAAAGAAATATTTTTGTCCAATTAAAATTAATAGTTTATTTTTAAGAATATGTTTTAACAGCAGCCCATTGTGTTAAGGGGAAAGAGGATGTACTGTAAGTGGTATACATATTTATTTAAATCTTTTAAAACATATTATTTTTTTAAATATATTTTTTTTAGAAAAACCGTTCGTTTAGGAGAATTTCAGATAAGCACTGAGATCGATTGCACAAATGTTAGGCGAAAAAATCAATGTGCTCCACCCGTAGAGGATGTTGAAATTGAAGAATTGATAATGCATGAAAATTATCAGGGTATATACCATGATATAGCACTTATTAGATTAAAGCATAAAGTGGAATTTAAACGTAAGAAGAGAAAAATGTTAACATTCATTTAAATATTCAAATTATTTGCACAACAAGATCAGGAATTAGCTGTTTTCTTGTTCAAGTACTTTTAATAGAAAACAATTTTGTCTAAAAATTTTGTTTAAAAATGTTTTAATTGAACTTTAACAAAACAAAGATTTAACAAATGTTTCATTGAACTTAAAGATCAGGTTTGCCAAATTTTTAATCTTTTTGTTTAGAATTACGTTTTAAATGTCAAAACAACAACGCTTTATAAAAATATTGTTGAAATTGTGTATGGTAAAAGGTCTTAATAAACGATTGATAACGTAATGAATACGGAGAAAATAATTAAATTTTGGTTGTGCAGCTAATAAGTTTTTATAAAACCATTTATACACGTGTTTCATTCGTTTTATTTATAAGGCCCCTTTGCTATTTTTATACATATAGGTCACATCAAACCAATTTGTCTTCCAATTTATGATTACTCACGTACACAGGATCATGACAACTATGTTATAACTGGCTGGGGCAAAACAGAAAATGGTTTGCAAATTTTGATTTATTTTATCATTGACTATTTATTCAAAAAAAAGCCAAATATTTTTAGGTAAAACATCCGATATTTTATTGAATGCTTTTGTACCCAAAGTTAATCGTAGGTTGTGTCAAAATCAGTTGAGTATATATAATTTACGACATCCCTTAAATGATGGTCACATATGTGCTGGTGGCAGAAATTTGATTGATACATGCCGTGGCGATTCTGGTGGACCTTTGCTTTATCGAGATTTTTATGAGAAACGGCCTCGTATCATACAATTTGGTATAGTTTCTATTGGATTGCGTAATTGTGGAGTTGTCAATGTACCCGGTATTTATACAAATGTTTCGCATTACATGCAGTGGATAACAGATAATTTGAAAGAAAATTCTGGAAAAACGGTTGGCAAAGATTAGTTCAAGGTGAGGCATATATTCATGAGACCAGTACTATATCTATATTGGCTAAATTTTAAAAACATTTAACGTCTAAGTTGCTGTATATTATAAAATTATACAAAATACCAAAGAAAATAAAAAAAAAAATTAATATGTATATCAAAAACTGACTGCAAGATTTGCTTTTTTCTTTTTGAATATATATAATCAATTCGGTATACAGATATCTATCAGATATGCTTTCGAGAACATGTCTAGTTAAAATCAGTAAAATCGTATCATAATCAAAATTCTGAAAAGCCCATTATTATTACTCACTTTGATTTTGCAATATAAGTACTATGTAGCGTAGTGATATAGATTCTTGAAAACAGTCGCAATTTCCGTCTGGACAGTTATTGATTATACATTATTTTAACTACAATATCTTAATTGCTTCTCTTTCTTATATACAAAAAATATAGCACTCAACTAGTTCTGCCACTTTAATTCCCTACGCCTTTTTTCCTTTAAATTGCGTATTGACTTGAGAAATTTGGACAAGAGAAAACCATGAATGTATAACACCTGTTTGTATTTTTCATATCTAAGTATAATCAAAAACATGGTGGTATATTGATTTTGTCATTCCGTTTGTAACACATCGAAATGTCACAAACAAATGTATAGTCAGGATCCTCATTATTAAATTCTAAGACAATCTAGACATGTTCGTCTGAGAAGAGCTATAGGGTTTAATTTTTGCACAAATATTATTTATTTATTTATTTTTTATTTATATGTTCGATATTGAAAATGAGAAATATCAGTCCACGATTTCATCCAGCCTCATAGAAATGTCCCTAAGGAATACAGTTTAAAGCGTCATAAATAAGCTATTTAGGCAGCAATCGTAATAAAAGTTTTCAAAAATCAGTTTTATAAAAAATTATTTATATTATAATGTATAGTGAACATCGGATCGTAATTGACTCCACATAAGGCCCTTTAGAAAATGACTTTAACGCTATTGACTAGCTTAATAATATTGTAATGGGGATGAAATTCGGCAAAAAAAGTTTTTAAGAAAATTATTTTTCTTATTACAGGATCATGACATTAAGGACCATAATTGGCTTAAAGAAATTTGAGAAGCCAAAATCTCTCTATAAAATTTTACTAGGATCGGACTATAATCGACCCGATTCTACATCCTAGCCCTTATATTGTCAATAATTCGTTCAAAAATTATGGTATTAAGATAAAAATCTTCAAAAATACTTTTTGCAAAATTATTTTTCACTATTTTAAATTTTGTGGAGCCCGGCCCGTAATTGCCCCTTTAAATTCCTAAGATCTAAATCCATACATATGTTAACTTAATATTTAACATGCACTTTGATGGCAGGTATATAAGATTCGACACTGCCGAATGTAACACTCTTTCTTGTTTTTTTTTTTCAGATTCCGAACCTGATCTTAATTAAATGTGAACTTAAATGATTCATATATATTAATTGTACACAATAATATATATACTTTATATAGACAGATATAAATATTACCCTTAAGACGTTGTTATACGTCATTATATATAAACTTGTTTTACAAAAACAGGAGCTTTAAAGAATATATACTTCTTAAAAATTCTTTAAAAAGAGAAATTCTCTGATAAACTACTATAAAATTTTTTTCAGTTAAATGTCACATGTTAGAAAACTATAAAATTAAAAGCGAGAGAATAGACACTTGTTACATTAATAAGTCTATGATTCAATAGATAATTTATATTTATTATTGTCTAGAGCACAAAAAAATAAACTCTTTGGTTAAACTGATATATTTTGCAAGTATATTTTCATATTTATTCATTCATAAATACATTCGTTGAACGCATTTCGAGAACCGTTGAAAAACAAAAACTTAACTAGGTACATATGTATTATATAGAATCAAGTTTAAGCACGCTTTTTATTCAAGAGAATTAAAAAAAGCCGGTTTATTGTACTAAAATTTAAAGATCATTTACATTTGGATTTCGTTGTACGTATAAACAAATAATTTAATAAAAACTGTATGCAATGCCTGATTTAATAAACAGTTGAGAAGAACACTTGCTTAAAAAATCATCTATCTAGTATCTAGTAGTATAGATTGTATTAAAACTTGAACTTGAAAAACTTGTGGATAAAATAATTGAAGTGAAAAGAAAATTAACACCAGAAAATGAAATGTTTATATAGAAAAAATTTATTCAAATTATTTAATGTTTTGTTTTTTGCAACTGTAATTAATGGACGTACGTTTATTTTCGATTTAATTATTAGTTTTAAAAAAAAGTTATAAATACTATAAATTGTTTTGTATTGAAATTTATAGAGGAGTCTTGTACTACACCAGCACTGGAAAATGGTTTTTGTGTTCCGTATAAAGATTGTCCATTTGTTCAGGAATTAACACAAAATTATGGTAGTGCTGAAGCTATACCCAAGTATTATTTTAATTTTATATTTAAGTCAAAGTGTTCGAAAGATAATGAACCCGTAAGTGTATTTTTCTGACGATTTTCGGAGTGTTTGAATAATAATTAGATTTAAAAAAATTTTTTTCTTAGATACGACTATGTTGCAAGCTTCCGAAAGATTATGTGAAACCGACTGCACAGCCAACAGAAACCCCTACGCAGACAACACCTGCGGGTGCTGATCCTAGATTAACGGAAGATCTTGACTACAATAAAGATTTTAATTCACAATTTAATGCTCAAGGTATGAAAAGAATAAAATTTACAGAGGAAAAAAATATACACGCCTGGTACCAAATTGACACCAAATTTTTCAATAACATCCGTTGTCAAGTATATACATACAACAACATGTTATGTAGACCGCGCAACTTTGTCAACATTGCAACAATTCGTTGTCGCAATCTAAACTTTATATACATTCGTTGTCTAATTGTTAACAAACGTGGTAAGCTCACTATTTACAACGCATTTTGAGCTTACCACGTTTGTTAACTTTTAGACAACGGATGTGCATAAAGTTTCGTCCCCACACTCACTTTAAACTTTTTGTAAATGTTAAAAAAGTGCTACCAATACTTCTAGTCTGCGAGACTATACTCTAGCGGTCTCATTTGACTACTCGATTGGTCCTTGGGATTATTTGACTTGAGGTTGAATCACAGAACCTATCTTATCTGATTCCACGGTAACCAGTGGCCCACAGGGCAATGTTTCGGACTTTTCCTATACCAGTTATTGGAGAGATATCTTCGGGTGTTCATTGCACAAAGGGGCGGCGGTAGGTCGTTCTAGCTCAAGCAGTGGTTGAAATAGTACCGCAGTGAAATTAGGCCATTTGACAAGTGTTCAAGTAAAGCACTCGACATCTGTCCATGTAAACCTTGACATAAATGTGCTAATTGCATTAATAACTATAAGGAACGAATGACTTTAGGAACTAATCTCAAACACGACCCACCGATGTAGGGTATATCATGGTCTTGCCATGCACGACAATACTTTCTTAATTGTTTGACGTCAATCAGAACGTGTCATACAACTTTCGCAATACTGTGTATATATTATTAATGCCTTAATATGAAATTAAGTTGTAAAACACAATTCTTGAAAACAATTTAAACAAATTTTAAATTTTTTTAATATTTTACAGGTTTAAGTATTCTCAGCGGATCAAGCTGTGGAACGACTGGAGGAGATCGTGTGGCTGGGGGTAATGAAACAGATTTAGCCGAATATCCATGGATGGCTTTAATACGCTACGATGCACCTGGTGATGAGTTTAAATGTGGTGGTTCCTTGATATCTAACCGTTATGTTTTAACAGCTACACATTGTGTTAATAAGGGCATATATCCAGCGTAGGTTATTGTTTGAATCAAAAATAATAGGAAAAACTGATTTACTATAATTATTTGGTATATTTATACAGAATTGGTGTACGTTTGGGTGAACATGATCTTTCAACAAATCCAGATTGCAGACAAAAGGGAAGAAAAAAGGTATGCAGTCCAGTTGTAGAAGACTTTGGCATAGAAAAAATCATTACCCATCCTCGTTATAATGAAAGAAGACGCATTAATGATATTGCCTTAATAAAGTTGGATCGTAAAGTAGATTTTAAAAGTAAATATAATTATTATTAAGTTAAGATTTTTTTAATAACTTAAAACGTTTGTATTACAGAACATATTAAGCCGGTTTGCTTGCCCATAACTAAGCCATCTTATGAAATTGAATCAAATGCTTTTACTATAGCTGGTTGGGGAGCCACGGAAAAAAGTAAATTTATTTTTTTATAAGATTTTTAAAAAAACAATTATTTAAATAAAATTTTTTAAAACATATTAGGTACTCGATCTTTAGTACTTTTAAAGGCGCAAGTATTGGGTCAATCACGTTCAGTATGTCAAAATGTTTTTTCATCATTTTCAATTGAAATAAATTTAAAACATATTTGTGCTGGAGATTTAAAAACTGGTCGTGATACCTGCAGGGGAGATAGTGGTGGTCCTCTGGTGGGTTTTAACACCTATTCGGATGTAAAACGTTTCATACAATATGGTGTTGTGGCATCGGGTGGCATTGCCTGTAATCTTGAACAAGGTTTTCCTGGTATTTATACAAATGTTTTAACCTATTTACCATGGATCACAAATAATATTGTTGATTAATTTAGAGTAAGCATTAGTAATTTAAGTTCTATTAAGAAGGTCACAATTTTATTTTCTCGTATAACTAAACTATTGTAGTTAGATTTAAGAAAATTGCATTTATCAATGAATTGTCATAAAAAATTGTTCTACATTAGCATGTCATTAGAAATAAGAGAAATTATATAGGAAAATATATGTAAAATTCTTTATAAATTTGTATGGTTTAATCAAATTCATCTGTTATTGTAGTTCGATATGGTTCAAGTATGGTTGAAGCTGATGTTTAATCGCTTGATTACAAATCCAAGTAGATTTGATCATAGATTATTAAAATATTATAATTTTATTCTATTCAGAGACTGGCATTTGAAAAATAAGTTGATCTGAAAAGAAAGATTCTAAATATTTTGCAATAGAGGATGGATTTTTAAATCTATTAACAGAGAATCTTTATGAAAGCTTTTTTAAATTTGTAATCAGTTTAAAATTTGACGAACTTACTATCCATATAAGTTCTTTATGCAAAATTCCATCGTGATACTAATGTTTATAAGTGAATTATTGAGCTTAAAGTTATTTTATAAAGGTACTTCATATTTGGAAAAGTACCATTACGAAAATCGGTTTTATCATTTAGACTTATTTAAAAGTACATTTTGTAGAGATTTTTGTAGAGTTTTTATAACATTTAACATAATTATGATCTATGCTAGGTGAAATAATTGATCGATTTCAACCATTTGTGAGTATATGTCAAATTTCATGAAATCATCTCGAAAATTACCTCTAGCGTGCGTGCATGGTTAACATAGACCCACAGATGGACCTACAGACAGACACACATACATAGGTACATATCATAATCGACTCAGAAAGTGATTCTTAGCCGATTGGTATAATATAAGGTGGTTGTAGGACTACAAACATCAGCACTAATAATTTCCCCACTATAGTGGTATAGGGTATAACAAGTATGTTACCAAAAGCATAAGTTCACATCAAAAAATAAACTTTCATACTAAACAAAGATAAAATATTTATATAATTTAAAAAAAATTACCCCCTTTTATGCATATTAATATGAAATATGTTAAAGCGAAAGGCTTTAATAGCAATAGATTTTATCACACAACTTTGTCACGTTTCGTGTAACAAACAAAGGACTAAATTGATATATAACAATTTGGCATAAATATTGATTATTTATTGAAAACAAAAAATGATTTTTTTATTTAGTTAGTTGTAGTAGTTGAAACAAGCCAAAACAACATGAACTGTAAAGAAAAATTAAAACAAATTCCCAAAATGTAAGTAAATATAAGCAAAAAAAGATATAACAAATTTAATTAAATACTAATTAAATTTTAGGATATTCTATGTGATTTTTGTGGGAGTATCGGTGCCATACTATATACAATTATCGAAAGGTTTATACAATAATTTCTTTGCCACAAATATAACATTCAATTTGGATACATTATAGTAAGTTGAAAGAAATTTTTATATAGACTTAAAAAACATATTATAAATAGTCTCAATTGGAATACCTCATTTCCGGCTGTAACCATATGTGAACTATATAATGGTGAAAAAGTATGGGATTTAAGTGAACAATATTTTGGTGCCGAACATGATATGCGTTTGGATGATGTAGTGGGAGAAATTGTGTATTTTCATGGTATCTGTACTTCATGTGATATATGTGAAAATCAAAATTTAACTTGCCCACAAAATTTTACTCAACTGTTGAAACAGGTAAAGTATTTCATTACAAAAAAATTATAGGAAATATATAAATTAATTGCTTCTGTTTCTCAGTTTCGTACCAATTGCACTGATTTAATTATAAATTGTAAATATCAAAATATTTTCTTTGATTGTTGTGATGAATTTTATCCTATACATACGGAATATGGTGTTTGTTATGCCTTTAATTCCAATCAAGCAAGGTTGGTAAAAAAAAAGAAAACAAACAAAATCTTATTTAATTGATTCATTAATTTTAATTTATATCTACTTTTTTAGAAAGAAGTACGATGTCGAATATGCCAGTAATCGTATAGTGGGTGTAGGTTATTTAACTTTTGAGGTAACGGCCGATGTTCAACTATATGTTCATTCTCCCGTTGAAATACCCTTTCAAAGTGCCGATGGCATGATAAAGGAAACAATTTTATTGGGCTCCAATAAGGAACTTGTTATCAATGCCATGGAGGTGTATAATCATCCGAATTTAAATAAAATCAATTATGAAGAAAGGAGATGCCGTTTTCTACATGAACTTACAGTTCTGGGTAAAGAATTAAAATTGTACGAATTTTATAGTTTCTCAACATGTACAGTGGAATGTGTTTTTGCTAAACATTTAAGATTGTGTAATTGTAGCAATCATTTTTTGGTTAAAGAAGGTTTGTTATATGATTTCTTTTTAACAAAATAGATTTAAATATTTTATATTTGCTTTTAAGATTCACCCTATCAAATGTGTGATTATGAAGGTTTATTATGCCTAACGGATTATTTTTACGACATATCGGAAGAACGTAGACTATGTGACTGTATGAGTCCTTGCGATGAACCCGAATATAATATTATCTATAATTCAGCTGATAAGTATGAATATAACTTTTTAAAGTATTGGTTTTTTATTAACATTTTTTTCTTATATTTCATCAAATAGTATAAAAAAGAACTCGGATATAACTAAAATTAAAATATCACTAGCAGAATTGCCAACAACTCGTTATGTGAGAAGAGTTAATAAAACAAATCTAGATTTAATGAGTAAGTATGTTTTTGTATTTATAATACACGCTTGAATTGACATACTTTCAAAATGTTTTTGTTGTTATTAGAATGTATAAAAAGTCTCGTCATTTTGATTGACAAAAGTAAAAAAATGTTCATATGTAAACGTTTGAGTCACTGTTGGGGATTTTTTAAACTTAGAAAAAAATCCCTTAATTTGTGCAGAGTTAATAATTCCCCTGAATTTTGTTTTAACAACTATATTAATCACAAATAAGATCTTTCCACAAATATAACTTAAAAGTAGTATTTGATTGGTGTAAATTAGATTTTTTTACCCATCATTAAATAGAAGGGGGTATATTGTTTTTGTCATTACGTTTGCAACACATCGAAATATTGGTCATAGACCCACAAAAGTATATATCGAGGGACTATATTCAATAGTCTCTATCTAAAATAACACAAGTTTTCAGGAGAGCAAAAAAACTGTTTATTTAGCTAGTTCGTGAAGATTTTTGATTTTTTTCTTCTACAATATATTTTGAAGACCATACTCTAAATTGTTATATAAAAAGAATTTAAAATTTTGCATTATTTGCAGAATTATTCACAACTTTATATCAGATAGAGCTTTTTTTCTACGAATTTTTTTTTTACAACCTTCAGATAGACAGTTTTTCATAGAAATATAAATTTTTTTATTTGATTTAATATCAATTAATATTATATTTTATGCAATTTAATGAAGTAATATAAACCAAATTGTTTAAAAAGCAGCAGATTATAAGGTTTTGGTCCAAAATCAATGTTATATGGTTAAACACGGAATAAAATTGATCAAATTAGTATTATAATGTGCGATATCTCGAAAACTATTAAACCGATTTCAAATATTTTTGCGGATTTGTGTCCAGCATGTCCAAATTAGTAAAAGCACTTGTTTTGCAATAGAAAATTATCCAAAATAATAGAGTTTGAAGCAATTTTTGGATAAGATAGAGAGTTTTGCATTCAGAATTTTTCTTTTTATAAGATAGAGAAATTTAAAAATTGCTATAAAATTGCCAAAAAATATTTTTTTCTTTTGAAATGTATGCCACTGATGCGGGATAGTTTGCTGGATATTTTGCCATCAAAATCTTATTTTCATAAAAATGACAGATAGAGACTATTGAATATAGTCCCTCGATATTGTGTCCTTATTAAATTCTAAGACGATCTAGCCATGTACGTCTGTCTATTGAAACCGCAATAGGGACCACTCAGGAGGAGCTAGATAGTTGAAATTGCATAAATATTCTCTATAGATAAGGTTTGTTTGGTATTGAAAATAGGCAATATCGGTCCACGTTTTCGGATATCCCCCAAACAAGTGGACCCCCGAAAAATAACTTTAACGGGCATAACTGTTTTAAAAATACGAGTATGTATACCGATGAAATACGACATAAGTAAGTTTCTTACGAATCAAAATCTCTCTACCAAATGTTATGTGGATCGGTCTATAATTGACTCTATCCTCCATATAAGGTCCCTTTTAGAAAATTACTTTAACGCTACTTACTGGAATAAAAATGCGAGTACAGCGCTGATATTCAATGTAAATAAGTTTTATACAAACTAAAATTGGTCTATTGTTATGAGGATCGGTCAATAATTGATCCTAAACCTCATATAAGGTCCTCTTCAGTTTATTTGATGAGGATTCAACAAATTTTATACTTAGAAACATAATTCTTCATTCATTGATCTATAACTGACCGTAGCCCTTTTATAAGGTTACTGTTAAGCGCCTGACTGAATCGAAAATAAGAGTAGAGCGGTGAAATTCGAAACAAATAAGTATTATGCGAACCGAAACCTTTCTATCAAATTTAACGACAACGGTCCATAATTGACTCTACTGTTCACGGTTTTCAAAAATAAATATGTATTTTGTTAAATTAAAATATTTTGTTAATTAAAAAAGAGCTCGGTGCATAATTGACTTAAGGCTATTCCCTGATGTTTATAGGGGAGCATTTCTTTTACAACATAACGGTTTGATGGTTTGATAACACTCTCACTTGTTTAGACTAGCATTATTCTGTACAGTATGACAGGTTTTGTTTTTTTTTTTTTTGTTTTACATGTCAATATTACTCTGTTAAATCTAGTTTATTAACTAAGTATATTTACTTTGTGAAAAAGTACAAATTTAAGTTTAAGTTTAAACCAAAAATGTAATATTTTACCTAAACTCTAGCCCTATGTCTAGTATTTTATTTAGGCAAAACAATACAGATTTCACTATCTAAAAGATTTACCCCTATATTCATAAGTGTTTAATAAAGTTGTAGGAATTATTGTAAAAATTTAGTATGGAAAATGTGCGTAATAAACCTAAAATAAACCATTAATATATTTATAAATACGGTGGTTAGGATTTATGATTATGAACTATTATAAAAGTTGGATGAAAACATACTAAAAATTTAATAAATGATTACAAACAAGGACCGAACCTTAATCTTAAAACAAAATCTTCTAGAATTCATATTATGTATTAAAGTTAGAAAATTGAAATGAAAATATTGTCTCATTTTAAAATTTCATTAATGAACTTTTCTAATTACAGTTTCTATAGGAGGTTTGGCCGGATTATTTTTCAATGCATCATTGATACGTATTGTGGAATTGATATTTTTAATATTAGATTATAATTGGAAATCATGGAAGAAATGTTAATGATTTATGTATTTTATTTTATATTTCTTATATTAAAATTAACATTAGCTCAATTGTTATAATTTTAAGTTAAACAAACAAAACAGAAACTTCATTTTATGGTACAACAAACTTATTGTGCGTTTTTAATAAAAAAAATCAAAATAGAAACTAATAAAAACAGCAAAATTTCAGGGTATTATTTAAATATTAACTAGGCAGATAGAATTTAACAAATTCGTAGAAAATTTATATGTAATAAATATGTAGATATCATCTATGGTTAGACATTGCACTAAAAATTCTTACAAATTATAGGTATTTCCTTTTTCTAAATTATTTGTTGTAAATGGTAAGAATATGTTGTAAATATTTTGGGAGTAAGTTAAAAAAAAAATAAGTAATAACTTAACTTATACTTATCTTATCGGCTTGTAATATGGGCGTTGCATATGAAGAGGCTGTTGCCACTTTATTTTGTTGTTGCAACGGCAGTGGTGTAACAAATTGCAAAAATGTCTGGATATACGAAGGCAAATAAACGTAACTCGAGAAGAGTACCAAAGCCAATATTAAGGCCACAAAACTGTCTGTAATTAAGAGATTTATTAAAATTTTTTTGTAATGATGCTGTAAAATTAGTTATTACTTATTAATTTCTTTTCCCATGGCTCGAACATGTAAATGCAGGTCACCAATTCATACTGCATGTAAAGACTCATCAATGATTTCTTTATAAATTTCAACATTTTCCTTTCTTGTTTTTATTAACTTTTTGTGATTTTCTCACTTGTGTGATAATTGTTTATGCTATTTTTATTTAGTTAAATCTTATCAATTTGTTATTAATTATAATTGTTTGCTTTTCTTTGTCACTTTATCAGTAAAAAAAAATTGCACTCTACTTCTTCTTCTCCTTTTTGACACTTTCAACTAATGTTGTCAACTATTGGAATTTCTGCATATATGTATGACGTCTAAAGCACCAAATTATATTAGCGATTTTGGGAATTTGAAAATACACAAAGGATGAAAATGGTAATTTACTGAAATATAAATAAAAACCAATGTTGACAAACGTTTCGAAACGGTGAATATATAACTGTAAAGTATTTTAGAAATTTAGTTTATTACGGATATGGTATTTTAGGGGTAAAAAAGACTCAATCTAAAAAACTAGTAAAAGTCGTGATGCGTGCGCATTTTAAAAACAAACGTTGTTTTTTCATTTGGAAAACTGGAACCATTATATTTTAAGCAAAAACATTTAAAAATAAGTCAAAAAGTGAAAAAAAAATCAAGAAAATCGAAAAATATCAAAAAGTCAAAAACGTCGATAAGAATTGAGAAATGTCAAAAAGTCGAGAAGAATCTAAAAGATTAAAAATAGCATAAAACGCAATAGTCAAAATTTCGATTTTTCAAAAAAAAAAAAAAAAAAAAACGAAAAAATCGAAAAGTCGACTTTCTATAAAACGAAAAAGTCGAGAGATCGACTTTTCAAAATGTTTTTGTTACTGGTGAGGTATTGCCAGATGATTTTGAAGGAAGTTAAAAGGTGGTAATTCTTATTTTCTTGTTAAACCGTTACGTTTTAAATGAATGAGCAGTTATTAAGAGTGATTTTTGAAATATTTACACACTTAATGAACAATTTAAAGCTATTTGTAAATTGTTTATGTTTGTAATTCGTAAATGTAAGAATTATTACGCTCAAAAACGGAGATTATTTCAAAAATTTATTTCATTATGACAAACTCAGCCCATTCGTTCTATTCACAAACTAATATTCATATTTAGAAAATTAAAAAAAGTTTGCAAAAAAAAGAAAACAATTGTTCTTCTATTGTAATTTCAAAACATTTATTTTATTTTATATATTTTTGTTTTCGTAAAAAACACACATTTTTATTAACTGAAAAATAAATAGTTGGCTAATAAAAAATATTATTATATAAAACTTCTTATTTTTATAAAAATAATAAAAAATAATTGCAACTTAAATATTAGCACATTTTAAAAAGTTTAAAAGTATTTTTTTTTTTTTAAAACTATAAAAATATAAAATCTTAATTCGAAAAAATTATAATTATTAAACAATAAAATAAACTAACTATTTAAACAAAATTTAATTAAACTATATTTCATAAAAAAATTACAAATTACACTTAAAGCGTATATAATGAAAGATAAACTAAAAAAATCTATATTAACGGAAAATATATTAATAATTTAACACTAAATAAATTTACTTTTTTACAATTTTTACATATGAAATTTAATATTTACAACATTTTATTACATATTACAAAAAAGTACAAAATTTTTACACAGTATTTTACAAACTGTGTATTACTTTTACTAGTTTAGTTTAATTTATTGTAATATATTTTAATTGTTTGTTAAAATTACTGTTAATATCACACTGTGTAGGATTTTTTTATATAAGATTTAAAGTTTTTATTTATATTATATTTAATAATAATAAATTTGTTTTTAAAAACTATTAATACTACTTAAAATTTTAATTAAATTTAATAAACTATTAACTTACTTTACAATTTTATTTTAAGGTAAGTATTTATGTATGTGTAGTCGTAATTTTTACTTATTTATTTAATATGGTTAATATTTATTTAAACTATTATTTAAGTAAAATTTAAACAAATTCAAGAGTAGTTTAATTGCTTTAAATAATGGCTTCTTAAAAGATTTTGTTTTAATAATTGTAATTGCTTTTGCAGATAAATGCATTTTACTATTGCGAGGAAGCTTTTTATTTTAAATCTTCTAGCGTGTTACAGTTTACATTTTACGCATTTGTGGTTCTATTTTTGTACTCTCTTGAAAAGAAATTGGCCTTTTTTTTGTTATAATTGAGATCAATACTAATATGTTTAAATATGTTTATAAATAGTTTTCTTTTTTTTTTCATTATAAAACTAGAAAGTAATTAATCTTAAAAGGATTTTAGCTTAAGTAACCTTTTAATCCTTTTATATGCTTAAATATTTAACAGTTCTAGTAGCATCACATTTATTTTACATTTTTTAACTTTTTTCTAGGCACAAACACTTTGAGTGAGCGTAATATTTACAACTCTTCCCATTTTTGTTAAGTTATTACACCTTCTTTTTGACCTGAACTACACTAAAACTGTTAAAATTTCTGAATCATTACATTCTGTGACCGCCGTCGTTACTGTTGATGAGCTGGTTGTTGTTGGCGGTGGCATTGCTTTACAATTAATTGATCTTTTGCCAAAATCTTTTCGTGGACTATCTATAGAACCAACTGTATTCTTTTTCATATCCGAATTTTGTGTTTTATGCAATAATATTTGTGAGCTACGTTTCGTATGGAATTCTTTGCTTTTTGTGGTCGTTTCCAAATCACAATCGAAATTCGATTCTGGATATAGGGGTTGCGAACGATGTACCCCAGAACTGGAGGCAGAAGCATTAGCTAAAGTGCTAACGGTAGCCAATTCAGGAGCAGGATTTAAACTTAATTCCATGCCATTAACACGTCCCAAAGAGGAAGTGCTGCCTTTTAAAGGATTCGTATAACGTCTTAGGTTTTCTTCGTTTTGTAAGTTATTCGATTTTTCTTCATCATGTCTTAAGGCATCCATGGAGGGAGCCAAATTAATGCCAGAGCTGGAAGACATAACAATGCGTTGACGCCAGAAGAGACTCAGGAATATGGCCAAACCAATGAGTACTATAAAAATGCCACACAAAATGCCTATCAACAGACTATTGCTATTACCCTCAGCAATTAAAGCCGTTTCCACTTTGACCTCTAGTATAGAAACTAAAGCCGCCAGTTTTGTACTTTTCATATCGTTTTTCTGTTGCAAAGAGTTTAATTGGCGCGAAGATAAAAGTTCACCTAGCAAACCTATGGCAGTGGGTAGTTGAGAGTCATTCTGTTGAGTGGAAGACTAAAATAATAACAAAAAAAATATAAAATTAGTAAATGTTTTATTCATTTTATTATACTGCTTACTTACCACTGTCACTTCTATGGTATCATTGGTGCCGGTTTTCAAATCACATATTACTATTAACATGCCTTCATTGTCGCCCTTGGGTAACTTAATCATTCTAGAGGCCAGCAAAAATCTTAGCACCGAACATAAACCCTCCACGGAGGAACCTGCACCCACTCTTTGACGATCCAATAGTATGGTCAGACGGGCACAGTTGTCATTCAAATTGGCCTGATTGGGCCAGCAATCAGCTTTGGCGGGCAGACGTGGTGGTGCTACACGATGAGAAGGTTCCAATGAACGACAATCTCCTCTTAAGGGACAAGGTCCATTTAAGCAATTTTCACTTAATGTGGGCACACACACCTCATGTTGTTTGCAAACCCCCGAAAAGTTGGAAGATTTCGAAGAGGCATCTGTTTTGAAACAATTGGATAGACCACACCATAAATTGGTGCAGCGTGAAGTGCCATTTTCACAAACACAAGCATTGCAATATTCATTGGTTTGTCCCGTCAGCAATTGAGCCAAAACATCTTGGGTTTTGTTTAAGGGGGAATAGGGAGAATTGGAACTGGTTAGATTAAGGCAGGCAGATTTAGGATCGGAGAGTACTATAAAAAAAAGAGGAAATATTTTTGTAAAATTGTGTAGTTATTATTAAAGCGTTAAAGTTACTTACATATTTCACATCTCAAGCCATGTCGACCGGGTGGACATATGCAGGTATAACCTCCAATACCATCAATACAGGTGGCTCCACCTTGACAAGGTTGAGGTGAGCATTCATTTACATTTATACGACAATCGGGACCGGAAAATCCCTGAGCACATACACAACGAAACCAACCACTGCCCGATTCACAAGTACCACCATTATGACAAGGTTGTCCACGACATTGGTCTATAGGTTCGGTACAGAAAGTACCATCCCATCCAGGAGCACAACGACATTGCGATTGAAGACCTTTTTCAGGTGAGCCTACAACACAAGTACCGCCATTTTGACACTGTCCATTGTAGCAGGCAGTGGCACGTTCTGAGCAGCGTTTACCTGGAATAAAAAGAACAGACAATTGATTAGAATTAAAATTTTGTTAAAAAAATTATTAAATAAAGTTTGTTTACTTTTTTTATAAAGACTTTAAAAATTAAAGAAATCTTAATTAATAAAAATAAATATTATTTAGGTGAAGGATTAGCAATTAAATTAAAATTAATTCTCGAATGTTAGTTTTGAGGTATCAATTAGTTAATTTTTTTTGCTAGTTTAAGCTGATGCAAAAATAAATTGTTTTGTTTCTTGATCAGTATAAATTATTGAGACTGCAGAAAGTTGTCTTCTTCTTTTTTATAAAATATGCATTGTTTTGATAACAAACTGTGACGTTTTCTATTGTTTTGTATGACAGCACTTGCCTTCAAAATATTAAAGGGGATTTACATTAGATTAAATTTATTTTTAAACTAATCTGATTATTAATAGGCCACTCAAAAACTAGATCTGTGTGGTTCACTATAAAATGAAAGACTTAAGGCACCTACATTCTAACGCATTACGAAAGAACTTGCTAAAGAGCAATAAAGAAGTAGAAATTAATACTTTGAAGTACAAAGGATTTTAGCAAAACTTTGACGGAAAAGTATGATGGAATTTATGATTCAGTGTTTATTCTAAACGGCTTCCATTAGGTTAGTGTAATAAGTCTATTAATTAAAAGCAAAACAAATAGGATTTAGCTTAATAACAGGCGCAAGAAATTAAATTATTTTTAAACTGCCACTTACAAGCTTTATTGTTGCTAGTCGTATACCAAATTGCAGACTTCAAAATGTTTAAAACATTTAAGCTGAAATTGCAAACGAATCAAAACTCACATTGACTTCACACAAACCAACAAGTTAAGTCACCAGGAAAATTAAAACAACTGAGAAGATCTTTACA